TTAGGGTTTAGAGTTTAGGGATATTCAGCTAAATTTTAGAAGCATTGCCCCCGTAATGCTAAGAGATCTTGGAAACCTCTGGCCGCATGAGGACTACCCGAGTATACTGCATGATTTCGACTGGAACTGCCACAACCATCGGGATCACCACGATGACACCACACACATCACCCCCAGCACCACCAGCACCAGCANNCAGCACCAGCACCACCACCACCACGACAACTACTCCTACTACCACCACTACCACCTACTATACTGCTACGACGATGACTGCTATCCTGCCAATAATGCTACCACCACGACAAGGACAACAATCACAACCGAGGTCAAGTCAACTTTGCTGAAACATAAAGTGTTGTATAAACGAGCCTCATCGGGACTTTCATCTTCGAGTCACGGCCATGAAGCCATGAAGGCACATGCCACCTAAGGCGGCTGTCTTACTAGTTCTAGTACAACATAAATAACAAAAATATACAAAACACTATATACGTGTAGCGGGGTTAAGTCGCATCAGGTGGCATTTAGTCACTTCACCCCTTGTGCACGCCCCGTTTCGCGTTTAGTCGCATCCTCGTTCGAGACACACAAACGGTGGCATTATTGCAAAACCCGGGACCCTTGGAGTCGCAAACAGCAGCTGCACACTGGCTGAAGAATCTAGTTTACAAGCATGCCCGAGGATCACGGTGCCCCCGTCGCTCCCCTGAAATCTTAATGGAGCGATACGGCGGACCGTTCACATGGGGTCTAAAAGGCTTCAGGGGCTCAAGTAGCTGGGGTAATTCGTGCGCCCAGGTTGGCACCTCCCGCTCCCCCAGTTTTGGAGCGACAGAGGCTCTTTCGTAGGTTGAAAAGTGACGCGCCAAGGCTGGCAGCAGGGCGTCAGGGCTGACGCCACGAGGAGATAGTCTTTGGGAGACTGGGAACAAGGAACCCAGAAACAAAAGTGCCACTATCAGGGGATGCCATCGTTATCTCTTCGGACCCCCCCCCATAGCCCTACAGTGCAATCTGGACGCCTTCTCCATCTCCGCCTCGACCTGCCCCGCCACACCACGTCCAGGTGGAGGATCTTCCTCCGAATTCTGCAAGACATGAAATCTGCTGCCTTCTGGGGTTTAGGGCTTTGGGGGTTTCAAGTTTAGGGTTTAGGGGTCTATGCCCTTTGAAGTGCACCACTCATGCGACCAGCGACAGAAGTGAGCGAAAGGCCTTGCCCTTAGCAGGGCCACATAGAGACCCGAGCATCTCTGAAAGACTCGACGGAGGGCAGCTCAGAAGGCAGTGGGATGGTGGAGCCCTGTACCCTAAATCCGGACACCTGAGCTGCAAACCCTGAATCCTGAACCCCAAACTCCCACTACTCTAAGTAAGCCTAAACCCGCCAATCTAAACCTGGTGCCCCAAGCCTCTAAACCCTAAACCCTTAACCTCTAAATCCTGAACTCTATGGATTCTGAACTCGAAGCCCCGGCTGTCCTCATGCCGCTTCTGCGCCGAATGGCCGGGTGTCGTTTGTGACCTCTTTGCGGATGGAAGACTAACACTAACAACTGTAAGTCCATTATTGACACGGCCGCCAGCCAGGCAGCCAGGCAGAGACAGACGGAGACAGACAGACAGACGGACGTAGACAGACAGGCAGACAGACAGACAGGCAGACAGACCGACGGACAGACAGACAGACAGACAGACAGCCAGACAGACAGACGGACAGAAACGGACAGAGACAAGCAGAGACAGAAAGAGAGGTAGAAACGGACAAAAACAGACACGGACAGACAGAGACAGACTCAGACCGAAAGAGACAGATGCAAACGAACAGATAGACTTACATTATTTAGTGGATGCACATCCTAAACTCTAAATCCCATTCCCCAACCCTACACCCTAAACCCTAAACCCTAAACCCTAAACCCTACACCCCTAAACCCTAAACCCTAAACTCTAAACCCCTAAACCCTAAACCCCTAAACCCCAAACCTACGGCATCAACTTTAGGTCACCTCGGAAAGTCGGAGTCTGCGCCCTCTGCGAAGCAGCGCCGTAGCAGCGGGAGGGCCCCTGAGGGGGCCCGTGACCTCAACAGGCTTAGGGTTTAGTGCTTTTGGGTTTAGGGTTTAGGGTTTAGCGCTTTTGGGTTTAGGGTTTAGGGTTTAGGGTTTAGGGCTTTTGGGTTTAGGGTTTAGGGTTTAGGGAAGTTTAGGGTTTAGGGTTTAGGGCTTTTGGGGGCTTCACAAACAGTGTTCAGATCAGCAGGTTTTGGGTTCAGAGCGGCAGGTTTCAGGATTCTGCTTCTGGTTTCGCATGGCAGGATAGGAATTCAGTGAACCGTGGCTTGGGATCTCGGCTTGGCGGATCAGCTTGGGGGCTCAGAGGATGTTGGCTTCAGGGTGTAGACCTTCTTACCCTAAACCCCGAACCCCGAACACCAACCCTAACCCTGAAGAACCCTCAAACCCTGAACTTCCCTAAACTCCTGAACCCTACACCCTGCACTCTCCTATCTAAACCCAGGGTTTTGGGGATTTAGGACTGAAGGCTTAGGCCCCCAGCCTCAACAGCCGTGGCCAAGCGCCGAGGAGGGCAGCAACAGGCCTCGGCTGACATCTGAGAGGCTCTTCGGAGTTGGGGCTTCAGGGTTTGGGGTGTAGGGGTTTAGGGGTTTCGGGGTTTAGGGGTTTAGGGGTTTAGGCGGTTTAGGGTTTTCGGGGTTTAGGGGTTTAGGGGGTTTAGGGGTTTAGGGGTTTAGGCGGTTTAGGGGTTTAGGGGTTTAGGGGTTTAGGGTAACGGTATCCCCTTATGGTCCCTATGTAAGTGTAGCATGATTGGGATGTAGAGCGTAGGGTGTTAAAGTCCAGAACTTAAGGGGCTTGAGGTGAGGTTGTGGGTTCGGGGTTCTGGGTGTTTCGAGTTATGAAGGAATCGGAATACCTCGGCGGCAGAATTTCGGGAGGTTTACAGCAGATGCCCTAAACCCCAAACCCTAAACCCTAAACCCTAAAACCCTAAAACCTGAACCCTAAACCCCTAAACCCTAAAACCCTAAACCCTAAACCCCTAAACCCGCAACACAGGCCGCGGGGCCGCATGGAGCCGGATTGCATCTCGAGGCCAGGCGGATGTGACCCGAACCCTTCAGCCTAAACGGGCCTAAACCCTAAACCCTAAACCCTAAACCCTAAACCCTAAACCCTAAACCCTAGACCCTAACCCTAGACCCCAGACCCTAACCCAGAGACTCAAAAAAAAACGAATTAAGGAAGATACCTGGAATTATGAGAGGAAACCCTAAGAAGATTTAACAGGCACATGCCTGAATTAAAGGGTTTTGGAGTCTCTGGGAAGGTTGCAGGGTTGTACCTCGCTCTCTGGGTGTAAAACAATGCTGGTTCTGTGCTGGGACCCCTGACCCTTGGTTCCACACCTTCTCTCTACGTAATCATAGTAACAACAAGTATTGCTACTATCAAAAATATTACGGCGTCTTTCGAATCTTTCGAAGCAGAAGACCCTGCTTCGGGCCAGAAGGCTGCGGGCGAGGGGTCAGAGCCGGGCTTGGGGCTTTGAAGGAATCGGCTTTTATGTTGGAGGACGGATGTCGTATGCTAATTATAATTGCAAGGTGGCTGTAAGAGGATAGATGATCCTGTAGCCTAAACCCCTAAACCCTAAACCCTAAACCCTAAACCCAAAACCCTAGGCATGCTCTGCAAGCTCAGCTCCTCGTGATCTGGCTCTTCCTGTAGCCTTGCTGAATCTTGCGGCTGACATTCTGCAGATACCTCCAGCTTAGGGTTTAGGGTTTAGGGTTTAGGGTTTAGGGTTTAGGGCTGACATTCTGCAGATACCTCCAGGATTTGGACAACTGTCTGGTGCTTAGTAGGGAATAGGGTTTAGGGTTTAGGGTTTAGGGGAATGGATCCCTATGATAGTCCCTTAAGGTCCCTTATAGTAGTCCCTATAACCCATTCCCCCATTCCCTACGCAGCAAAAGACAGACAATGGGCAGCCTGCTTTGACCTTCAAACCTGGATTGCCCACTAACCATCGCCGGCGCACGTGCCGAAAAGGTTCACATTCTTGGGCATGGGCGCCTATCCTGAGCAGCGTCCGATCTAGAAAGCCGCTCACAAGCTCAGTCTCGCGTGAAATGCAGCAACAACTGCTCCAATTCCGTACTAGGCTCCAGCCTGCAGCAGCAGATCACAGTGCTATCCACATGATTTCACGGCAAGCTGACACTTACTGGATTTCTCCACCGTGCTTGCTCTGCTCAGCTGACCCGCCTATCCCAAACCCATCTCTTGTGCCACTTAACAGCATCACAGCTAAGAGCCTCAAAGGCAATCCGTGCATGGTGCGAACGGCTACATCTCGACATCCTCGAAGGCGACAAGCTCGGCGAAGTCTTTTCGGAGTATTCCCTGATGCCGCTTTGTATCGGAAGTCTGGCTTTGAAACTTCCTATATGCCCTCACAGCATCTAACAGACGCAGACGCTCCATCAAGCAATCTGGTTCTGCCATTCTGAACCATCCGGATTCAGAACCTTGGATGGCAAAAGCCACGGAACTCAATTCCAGTTGCAAAGATAAGGATAGCTTTCTATTTCCATATAATATGTGTGTGTATGTGTGTGTCTGTGTATATATATATATATATACATACATATACATATACATGCAAATATATATATATATATATATTAAAGGCAAGATTCTACATAGGTATATTCCCTCTCCCCCGTAATTTGCAACTCAAATACTTGAGTTTCTAAGCAAGAGCCCAAGTGCCATCATGGCAACTTACACAATTCAGTTTCTATGCAACCTTAAAACAAAACCCTACACCCCCAAAACCCTAAACCCACAGTAAGAGCCCAGGGGCGGTCATCTTCAGGGGTAAGGCACCGAAGCGCTGGCCGCCATTGGACGTGACGAGCACGGTATCCGAGAGGCCCAAAGGCCCCGAGGGCTCCGTGTACCTGGGCCGTTCTGGGGGACCCCTTGAAAATGTGGGGTTCTTAGATTCTCATATAAAAGTCTGTCAATTTTGCTCCTTCTTTTGAAATTGGAAACTTGGTTCCTTCCTTAGAACATACTAGACTAAGAAGGTCTTCTCAAAAAAATGGTGTTCAAGAACGGCCTAGCTACTTCTGAAACCACGGGATGAAGTGGAAGGTCATTCCTCGGCTGCTCTTCGAGGCGTCTCATGTAAGATTCCAAAACCTCTACTTCTTCTTCCGTCTTTAGAGGTTTAGGGTTTAGGGTTTAGGGTTTAGGGTTTAGGGTTTAGGGTTTAGAGCAGTACCATCCTGATAAAGAAGCCCTAAACCCTCGAAAATCACCCAAAAAGCGAAGTTCCAGAACGGCCCCGGCTCCCTCCTGCAACTCCGCCTCGTTGTTCCCGACGAGGCTGAAGTCGGCGTCGCCCCATCCCGCGTGCCCGGTCGGCTGCGTCGCTGTGCTGCCGGTAGAGTATGCCAGGCGCCTTGTTATTATTATTATTGTTATTATTGTTATTATTATTATGATTATTACTATTATTATTATTCAACGCACTTCGGGGTTCCCGATCAAGATCCTTTGTGCATCTTGCTCTGGACTGTCTATGAAAGATATTATATTCGCTGCATGTGCTAAAGAAAGCACACAGGGCTTTCAGTATCTCAATACGGCAGTTTCACTACACTGTCCACTCTTTGGTAACCAGCATGAACCTTCAAGTAGACCCCAACGAAAAATGGCAGAACCCTCAAAACAAAGACCCCATACATTTTTCAGACCCCTCTTTATTATAGAACCCCCTACATACAAAGGCCCCTCTTTCCTGGAGCCCCTATTTGTCGCCAACTCTTCCGGAGCACGCGGACATCTTCAGGTCCGAGGTGTTGGAGAGCATGATCTCACGGCCAGCCTTGTCGATATCCTTCGCCTTAGCTCCTGACAGAGCACAAATAGGAAAAGTTCAGGGCGCCCCAAACTCCAACACCCTCGGCTGGTGTTTTTTAGGGTGCCATCTAGGGTTTCGGGTTGGGGGTTTAGGAACCCCGCAGGTTTTTGCGTAGGCATTCCCCTCCCTCTCGTGCCACACGGGCCCTTGTGCATGGCGAGATGGGCAAAGATATTATGCGTCTATGTGTGTGTTTGTGTGTACACGCACGGGATAGATGGACAGATGGAAACCTGCACGGATTGATTGACAGATGCAACTAGTTCAATACACGTCTTATTCTGATCATTCACGGTTGTGGTCTTTCGACATGCCATCCTACGCGAGAAGAGGAAAAGGAAGAACTGCAAGGGCCAGAGAGAAAGAGAGGCACACAAGCACATGGAGCGAAGCAGCATGTGTCAGCCCTCAACCCTAAAACCCAAACCTAAGCTGAAGTTCCGCTGAAGGCCTTGACCCCAAAGCCATGCTCCTGGCACCATCATAGGCAGGCAGACCTCGAAGGTCTTCTGGATCAACCGTTCCGCCTCTTCCGGCCGACAAAGGAAGTCGTGAATTCCATGGAAAGGGGCAGGGACCAAAGGTATTTGCTTTAAACCCGAATCTCTGTTGCTCCTTGGCAAATTACTCGGGCCGTGTCCATACATTTGGGCCCAGAGGCACCGCCGTGGAGTATTTCATTCTGACCTGGTCTTTGCGGCTGGTGTCTCTAGGCCTTGGCTGCCTATGCCCTCGGCCAGCTGACTGGGAAGCTCGGCCATGTTGAGCAAAAGAACATCAAGCCCAGTCGAAAGAATGTCAAGCCCAAGTGTTCAAACTGCACACCGCGGTGGAGCAATCGAAAGGGGGGTTTCAGGTTTCGATTATCAAGTACCTACTAGCACGACCATGCACGCACAGGTTCGACGGTAAAGGCCAATGACACACTGTACAGCCAGAAATGATCCCCTTCTGCAGATGTTCCATCGACTCACTTCGAGAAGGGGGTGTGTTGTGAGTATCTAAAACAGAAATTGCTCGTCGAGTCCAGTTATTCAAAGGTTTTGATAAGCTCTGTGCCTGTTGCTAATACAGTTTCGATTTTGGTACCACTATGGTTGGAATTTGTTCATGGTTGCTTGTCATCTCGGATGAAGCTGAAGCAGATGCCTCCAGCAGCCACGTCGGTGGTGATGCCTCGCCCTCGTTCAGCCTGAGAGCAGCGTTTAAGGGGGTACTTCAGCATCCCTTGCCCTAAGAGTCTCCAGGTTCCTACATTGACGTGGGAGTTCCAGAAAATGGGAAACCCCAACAGTAACCTTGCAGAAACTCCTGAGAACAGCCACCAATGTCCAGAAGACCGCAACCTAACCCCAAAACTCATACAGCCAACCCCACATGAAAGCCCCAAAGGGCCAAGGGGCACGAAGGCCGTGCGCATGAGGGGAGCGTGATGGCCGAACTTGCAGGCCGAGTGCTCCAGGAAGACCAGGTTTCCAGGACGGACCTGAGAGGAGAGAGGGCTTTCCGAGTCTAAGGTTTAGGGGTTTCGGGTTTAGGGTTTAGGCTTTAGGGTTTAGGGTTTAAGGTAAGGTTTAGGGGTTTAGGATTGAGAACCCGGTCTGGGATGTATGGCTTCGGATTACCAATTGTGGGGTTCCTGGCTTAGGTCAAGTGTAGGGCTGGGATTGGTGTCGGGCCCATGTTGGATAATGTAGGGGCCTCAAGAATGACCTACATTGTTTTGGGGGGGTTCCCTATTATAATTTTAGTATAATGGGCCCCAAAACCCCATTCTAATTGTTAAGGCCCCTACACTAGCATCTACCAGATGATCCACTTAGCCACGTCCACGTCCGAGAGTCTTCTTCTGCTGGCATCCAGGAGCCATGGCCAGACGGATCCGTGGAGCGCACGATGGGGACGTAGCCGGGAACCTGAAAACTTGGGCGAGGGCTCTTGAGCTTAATTATTGACTAAAAAGCCCTTTATAGGACTCAATAATTATTATTGAGTCCTATAAAGGGCTCTTTTAGGTTTGTTTACGTTGCTAGGGATCGTGTTTTGTGGCCGGGGGGAGCCTCACTGCCAGCGCGGATCAGCTCGCTGTAGGCCGTGGCGTGGAGGTCGCTCAGGAGCTTCCCGGGCTTCACCGCGTTTAAGGCGGCAGCCAAGGCTGACTCTGACATGGCGGAAGCTGCCCGGATACACTCCTGCTCGAACTCGAACTTCTGAAGACGAGCCTTTTCTACCGTCTTGCTGGCATCCACACACGCCGCATGGGAAGCGTCGAAGAAGCTGCGGAGCCGGATGTAGTGGGCGGCTGTGATGGAAGCCAACTGCAGGCCAACACGGCACTTCGGTTGAAGGTACTTCGAAACCGCATGGCAGAAGACGTCGTGGATGCTGGCACTATCCGGACATGTGAAAGCCTCGGCCACCCAGGACAACTTCGGGACCAAGTCGAACTCAATGAGTCGAGCAATCAGGAAAGGGTCCGCATCCTTTGGCAAGATCAGTGCTTGTGGGGCCGAGTCTCCGATGGTGTACAAGCCCGTGAGGTAGTAGAGGTCTTCGGGCTGAACGACCACCAACAAGCTGATGCCATCTGAATCCATGAACTCTTTGACGGCTTGAAGTCTCCTTTCATACTCCTCGGGGGGCACACGTAGTGGCTGGCCACTCCAGCCATGGAAGATCGGTGCACCCTCCGGCTTCGCCGCCCGCAGCACGTTGAAAGCCACCTCTTCCATCGGAAAGCTCATGGCTTTGGGACAAAGGAAACTCCAAGGGCGCGGCTCGGGCCTGGAGGCCCAGGTGGCCAGTAGCACGTGACAGAGAAGGACCGAGGCAAAGATGCATCATGAATCATGACGTATAAGAAAATGCATGATGCTTCCTCTCTGGCCTGCTATTCTGCTTGCTGTTGTGTGGACCATGGCAATGCCAAGGAGCATGATGGTGTCAGGATGACCACGACGGTGATGATGATGATGATGATGATGATGATGATGATGCTTATGATGATGAATATGATGACGATGATGATGGTGATGATGAGTTTGATGATGATGATGATGATGATGATGATGAGTATGATGATGATGATGATGATGATGATGATGAGTATGATGATGATGATGATGATGATGATGATGAGTATGATGATGATGAGTATGATGAGTATGATGATGATGATGATGACGAACACGATGACGATTCGTCCATGATTTACGAACACGATGCATGGACAGAGAATCCTCCGGACCAGCACACCGACTTGCTTATCCTACGGGTTCAGCACGAAGTTTTTCTCGAGGTGCAGCCGCTACGAGCTGTGACAATGCTTCCCAAACTCAAATGCACTCACAAACCCTGATCCCGAAAGAAACACGGATGGTGGAGTTTTCTGCCAGACGGAAAACGCAAGCAGCCCATCCCTGCAACGCGGAAAGAGATTAGCACAAGCTTAGAATCTTAGAATATACAAGCAGAATGACAACGGCCTGCATGAATACCTGCATGGACTGCAGTTTGCCACCACATGCCAGGGAAATTGAATCCACTCACAAACCAGTGCGTAAATCGTCAAAGCAGGAAGCCCTGCCGGATTTACTTGGGCTCCTCCGGGGATTTCTACATTGAGTGGCTGCCGTCAGCATCACTTATTGAGGAGTAGAAGACGAACAGCTTTGCTTGGCACAGTTGGTCCGAACACCGACACGCGCATGACGGACGAACACAGGCGGGCATGCCTCGTTTAGCACCGTGCTCACCCTTTCAGCCTTCCGCGCTTAATTCCAGCACGGGCCAAGGCTGCCTTGGAGAAAGACATCCTACTCCCGCTCAGAAGCATCCTGCGCTCCGGCCTGACCCTGTCCATCAAAGAGTCTGCCTCGGGTGTGGTGATCCCGATGCGGACCAGCCGGTCCAGCAAGCATCTGATCACAGGCGCGCCGGGCGGCAGCGTGTCCGCAGCCAAGAGCAGCACGTAGGCAAGAACTGACACCTGATTTGCCCCTACCCGGATGAAAGCGAGCTCGATGTCAGACTCAACAAGCCAATACCCAGGTGGCGGCTCAATTTGCCGCAATGCATATGTCTTGTCAACAAGCTCTTGCAAGTATGCTTCTGCCAGGTTTGATGTTAGCACTTCTGGCTCGAAGGGCAGAGTCGAGTGCGCAATGAAGCTATAGCATCTTGCGTGGCACGCCCTCTCCAAGAAGGAACTCGTATGCGCGGCTCGAATACCACGTTGTCGGAGCACTTTTTCGGCCTCTCGCACTAACTGCATGTCGTTCCTCGCTGCTGCTTCAACCAAGCTCGGTGCCATTTCTGGAACAAGTTTCCTCATAGTGCCGGAATGAAATGGAAGCCCAGACGTCAACACTCGAAGCTGCCCTGTGGTTCCTGAGATGATCCCAGAACGGAGGAGTGAATCTGCATCAGCCTTCTTCATCCCGAATGCTGAGAGCTTGGCTCCAATCAGCTTCACAATCGAAGAGGCCTGATCACTCTTCTGCTTCGCGAACAACAACAGATGCCGGGTCAGGAACTCCCGCACGGAAGGCGACGCCACGAATGGCAGATCGGAGAGCAGCAAGATCAGTCGAGCAGATGGCTTGAGCTTGACTTCTTCCAGGATGCCGGTTGTCCAAGTCGTTTCCACATTGGCGCGCAAGAGTCGTCTGGCGATGCCCTGCACGACCTTCACGGCACGCGCATCTGCGGCGGAAAGCAAGGGATCTCGCAAAGCCGCCACCAAATCAACAGAGCAAAAGGGCAGAGGAGACAGCAGAATGACAATCTTGGCAGCCACATCCAGCTTGCGTGCTGCTTCGAAAATGCTGCTTGTCTGACTGGCTGTCACTCCAGCTTTCAAGAGCCTCGAGATGATACTGTCTACAAGACAAGCATCGCGAGCCTTCGCAGCAGACAGCAAAGTTTCGGTCAACGCACGCACCAAGTCTGATCTCGGAAAAGGCAAGAGCGATCGCAGCACGAGTAGTTTCGCGTCATTGTCAAGTGGAAGAGCTTGCTTCAGCACCTCCTTGGTGTCAGCAGACGTCACTCCAGCTTTCAAGAGCCTCGAGATGATACTGTCTGTGAGAAAAAAATCGCGTTCCTTTGCGGCAGACAGCAAAGGCTCGATCGATGCTTCGACCAGTTGCGACGCCACGAAGGGCAGCTCCGACAGCAGAACTGCAAGCTTCGCGTGTCTCGGTAAGCTGAGAGCTCCGTCCAAGATCACGCTAGTCTCGTCAGACGTCAGTGCCAGAAGGAGTCGCTTCTCGAGAAGCTTCAAGAGGTGGTAGTTCCCAAGCTCCGCTTGTCGGCAGAATGCTTCTACGAAGGCTCGCCTCGTCGATTTGTGGAGTGGCAGGCCAAGCAAGACATACTCGGCTGCGGGCGATGGCAAGCTTGGGATGTATGAAAGCAGATGCTCCTGCATCTCCAGTCTGAATGAAGTCGCCCCTGCGATCCCCTCTGTGTCAGCAACAGTCATCTGTTGAGTTCTCGGCTCACAGTCTGTAAAGTCGAAAGGCAAGCCGGAAAGCAACACCATAAGCTTCGCATTTTTGTCAAGTCGGAGAGCTTGCTTGAGAATGTCCTTCGTCTGATCTTGTGCCACCCCAGCTTTCAAGAGCCTCGAGATGATACTGTCTACAAGAGAAGCATCGCGAGCCTTCGCAGCAGACATCAATGGCTCCGTCAACGCGCCGACCAAGTCGGAGCGAGGAAATGGCTGCTTAGACAGCAGCACCCGAAGCTTCACGTCCGTGTCAAGCTGAAGAGCTGTATCCAAAACAATAACCAAGACACCCCTGCCAGCTCCGGCTTGCCGAAGACGCCCAACGATTCGGTCGACTCGCTTCATTCGCTCGGTTGCTGTTTTGGGCAATGTGCGGAGCAGCCTGTACATCCCCTCAGCCAGAATCGAAGGGTCCATCGGTAGGTCCAGCAACCAGAAGCCCGTCCACTGGTCCATCGTCAGATCTCCCGCATCGGGCAGGAAGGTTGTAAGCTTTTCAAACTTTACATACTTTAGTCCCGGCGACATTTAACTCATGATGGTCCGCAGCAAGTTGGAATCCTGGGCCATTCCGGCGATAGCGAGACAACTCCCTATGATCACATCAGGAATGGTACCCGTCACAGGAGGCTTGACTTGGACCACATGCTGCACGAAGCCTTTCGCGAGGCTTTTCCACTCCGGGGTGTAGCCTTCGCTGTCGATGACCATGGCAAGCTTCCGCAGAGCGAGCTGAAGGCCCGGACGGCCGAGGCGCCGAATAGCCGATAAAGTTTGGTCCGCCGACTCTGCGATCGCTCTCCCGCTTGATACTTGCCTTGGCAAGACTCTGTCTATCTCGTCCTCGATGGCCTTTGTCCACAGCTTGGCCAACCCCCGCGCTGCCCGGTTGAAGTGCTTTCTTTGCCCATTTGTCAGCGATGTGTTGCACGTCCGAACTCTTTGCCTCCAGGTCGTGACGATGCTCCCATCTTTGGATATGTCGACGAAGAGCTGACCCATGGCGATGATTTCCGACATTTTGTCTCTGTCACCTTTCTGCTTTTGAAACAAGCCGACCAGGGCGAATTTCTTCGCGACGACTTTGGGAATGTAAGTGGCCGCGCAGTTCTTCAACCTTTCTGCAGCGTCACGAACCTGCCCCGCAGTTGACAGCACGCGAAACTCCAAGGGTTTTCCCGGGACAGGCAGAGGCGGTATCCTCTGCAGGTGCTCGAAGGGCTTGTCCTTTCGCGCCCTCTCCGCAGCCAACCTGACATACGCGGCACTGCAACAGTGGAATGAACCTTCTTTCGGGAAAAGGACACTGTGGCCCAGAACCCTCGCCAAGAACCTGTGCAAGGCATTCCCAGGCCTCTTCTTCCGCTCCTGCTCGATGCGTTGAAGCAAGAACTTGGGTTTGTTCTTCAGTTCTGCCGCATCTGCCTGCACCGCCTGCACAAGACTCTCGCAGGCTTTCAACCCCAAAGAAAGCCACTGGCATTCCTTGCCTCCTCGACCTCGTCCAAACGCCGAGCGTTCCGAGCCACTGCCCAGAAGGCGTGGTGCCGGAGCACATAGCGCACGAGCTGCCTGGGGCAGGACTGAGTGTCGAGCTTCGCTTCGCGGCTCGAGGTGCAAGAGATCGAAAAACAAACACAGACTCATTGACGTCGAAAGGCTCCGTACCGGTGAGGAGAGTTCGACGGACACAGTCTGCTGCGTCCTTTGCCTCCGTCTCGAGCTGCGCGAAATGCTTCAGCATGTAACCAGTCGCGCGGAGCTCAGTCACGGTGGGAAGGCATCGTACGTTCTGCTGCGCCGCCAGCTGTCATAGGCAGCCTCAACAAAGAAACGGCCAGCACCGGGAACGAAGATCTGCCGGCGAAGCTGTCGAAGGGACTGTTTGCCCAAAATCTGTTGTTTGGAACTTTCCTCGCGCTGCCGATCGGCCTCGAAGGCCAAGCCTCCGTAGTCATCTCCCATAGCCCTGATCTCTGAAAGGAGTGCGTTTGAGGCGCTCCCTGGATTTATCATACCTTCGAAGTCCTTGCCCAGGATGGTCGCCAGGTTGCGACAAGCCGTTTGGAGCTCGGACTCGGTGATGGACGCCGATGTCACCGGCTGTCGGCTCACCTTCGGCTCCGGAGACGAGGGCGGTGGAGCGGCGACCAGCGGGTTCAGGTAGCCGCTGCAATGAAAGCCCTCGGTATCAATCCGCCCCCGCATACCGTTCATCTGAATGCTGTATTCGTCATCATCGTGCTGCAAGACCACGCCGTCACTGCAAGGGACGGGTCCGTAGATGCTGTGGCAAATTCGCACAGCCTCGTCCTTTATGTAAATGGTTGCCTGGCGACAGGAAACACGAGGCTGCAAATGCTGATCTCGTTGCCAATAGTCTCTCTGGATGTCTCTGTCAAGACAGTAGAGTGATCAACTGTTGCGGCCCTCCCCCCCTCCAGCGCCTCGCCATGTTCGGGGTCAGAGGCATCCTGGTAAGTGCCCAGAGGTCTCCAGCCCTCTTGTCGAAGGTCCTCCTCTCGCCATTGCACCGTCTGAAGACCTCGCCCGTGCCGCCGCCGAACCTGAGCTGTGGCTGGGGTCTGTCGAAAGGAAGGGGTGACTTTCGGGCAGAGGACATGTGTGCGCACACCGGACGGCCCACTCCGGCGGACCAAGACGCCCGTGCTCGCATCGCTCTGGTTGTGGATAGGACGGCGCAGCAGCTGATCATCCCCGCGAAGCAGGGGCGGACCTCGGCATTACGGCGGAGTGCATGTGAAACCCTGCACGCATGCACCGGCAGGCCCTTTGCTACTCGATGTTACTAAGGCTCGCAAAGACTGTGACTGAGCCGAGGGCAGTCTGTGCGGAAGAACGCGCGGTCCCGATGGCAGCGCCCGCCACGCTAAAGTGCTTGGTGACATCTTCACGGCTCGCGCGAGCCTCGTGCTCTGACACGATGCTGGGAAATGCCACAAATCCGAACATGGCTCCCTCAGGGGAGCTTTTGTCCCAGAGAGTCGGAAGACAGGTGTCCGCGTGGACTCTACTCCACTTCGTGTCCAGATTGGGGGCACTCCCCACGACATGCAGCCTTGAATGCCTCAGAAATACATAGTCACAGCGATGGCCCGTATGGATTTTCTGGTGGTTTTCCATTCTCTTGAGCGGCAGACATGCAGCCAACAAGATTGATCACATGCTTGCAGGACACTCACATTGCAGGCCTTCAGGTTCTTTATGAGGGACATGCGCCTTTTCTTGCTGCGACCGGGCAGCACTTTGCTCGGCAGAGCGCCATAAACTCAAGCGATATTCTACATCCTACGTGACGCGCTTCAGGTGGTACCTGCCCCGCAATCAGCGAAAAAAGACAAATGCTGTATCTTGCAGGACGCGGTAGGAGCGGTGGGATGCAGCAGGGCACACGTGCACGGCCGGGTGCCCGTCCTGACCCAGCGCCTGCTCGCTGGGCACCTCACTAAGCTATGTCATCAGAAGGCAAGGCGAGAGGCAGAGTGCTGCAACGCAACATGCTGTTGCCCGATATCCTTCACCGCCACATGACAATTCGATCAACGCTTGATAAACCCTTAACCATGAAATAATGAGTCATGTCAACGTGAACTTCTATCAGATCAACTATAGGCTGTACATTGCTGTCCTCTTTTTGAGCTGACCAGCCGGGGCCAAGGCCTCCTTGCTGATCTGCAGGCCCAGTGGGGCCAGCATCTGTCAGGGGTTTAGGGTTGAGGGTTTAGGGTTTAGGGTTTGGGGTTTAGGGCCCTAAGCTCTGCAGAGATACCACGAAGCCCAAATCCTGAACTCTAAGGCTCCTAGCCCGAGATCCTCAAGCTCAAAATACTGCAGCCCGAAAGCTCGACACATCGAAGCCTACAACCCTACCTTCAGAACCTCAGCACCCTGCACTTCAGGGCCGAAAAAATCCTTACAGTTGAGAGCCCCCAAACCCTGAACTGCATAGCTTCTCCGGCCTGGCGGAAGAGTAGCACAGACTCTTGGTCGCGGACCTGGAGAAACGAAAAAGAGCACCCTCCCGAAACTTTCGGCGACGCTTTAGGGATTCAAGGGTTCAGGAATTCGGGGTTTAGGGTTTAGGGGTTTAGGGTTTAGGGGTTCAAGGACTTCGGAAGCAGGGAAGCAGGATCTACGGCTTCATCCGAGGCATTTGTGGATTTTTGTTTCACTGTTTCATGTAGAGGACACCGATTCCCTGTGGGGCCACAGGTCCGGACACAAAGAGGGGGCCCCACCACCGGGTGTATGATTCTGTACTAATCTCCAGGCTAAGGGGATATTATGAAAAACTTATCGCACTATACCACGATTAAGCCATATGGGGACTTCAAGGAGACATGATGACTACAGAAACAAAGCTACACTTCCACTCAAACCCATGACCCTGCCTCCAGCCCTCGGGATATTACGACTAACAATCATACTCTACCAAAGTAAGCTATCTATGGATGAGGGAAGCAAAGGACCCTAAACCCTCAACCCTA